TTGAAATCAAAATAAAATCATTTATTACTTAAATTAATTAAATACCCCATACAACTCTAATAGTTCACTGTTAAGTGATTCATTTTGATAATTCATCATGCACTTTCTTCAAATGAATCTCTAAGGAGCTTCTCAGCAAAAATTGTTTTTCACATAAATGGCAAAGGAAGAGGTGAAGTGCCTCGTGCTCAGAGCAGTCTTTTTGGTCTCTGAACTTTTTACGACAATGCTGGCACTTGTACAGAAACGGGTCGGTGTGTACTCTTTTTTCGTGAAATTGCCGCCCCTTAGTCTCTGGGAATCTTTTCTCACAAAACCGACGCTTGAACGGCTTCTCTCCTGTGTGTGTTCTCTCATGCCTCCGGTGGGTGCTCTGACGTCTGAAAGTTTTCTCACAAAATTTACAAGAATACGGTTTTTCTCCTGTGTGAATCATCTCATGATGATCCCTCGATTCTTTCCTTGCGAACCCTGTGGAACAAAACTTGCAACGGTGAGGTTTCTCCACCTGGTGCGGACGCCTGCGCTTGTGTTTTTGCAAATTTATCAAGCTGACAAAGCCCTTATTACAACAGTCACAGTGATACGGCATCTCTGCCGAGTGCTCCGATACTTCATGTTCCACGCATTGTCCTCTTTGAAGAAACATTTCACCACAATACTGACACATATTGGGTGTGTTGTCACTATGCCTACTAACATGGAGATCCCGAAGTTCTTTGTACGGAAATACTTCATTGCAGTACTTACATATGTACACAGTTCGCATCTCTTTTAAATGTGTCAATCTATGTTTAGAGAAAACATCTTCAGATGTAAAGTTAGCACAACAGATATCACAGATGTAGATGGTCTCCTCTTCCTTCTTAACATTTCTCTCCTCGCTGATCACATCGCTACCACCTTCAGAATCACCCACGGCCATGCCGTCATTTCTCTCGTTATCAGACACGCAGGGTTCATTGATCACCTCTACCTCCGAGACTTCATCTATGTTCGGTTTACACGTTCTTCCTGGGTTGTTATAGTAGCTTAAATAGTCGTGATCTAGGAAAAGGCCAGGCTCCATCTTCTGATCAGGTGGCTCATCACTATCTGAGGATGTTCCGTCCATTCTCTTGCATAGTGTTGTAAGCGGTTTGTAATTGTTAAAACTTGAAAAGAAAAGGTATAGTAAGCAAAGTGAACAAAGATGAGCAAATTTAAGGCACAATCTCATCTAAAAATATTATTTTTATCTGAACACAAGTTACTGCCACCTCCCGTGACTTTTAAAATCCAATCCATGTACTGTAGGCCTATTTGTGGAAATAAGAAAATGAAGAAACTGCCTACATCATCTAGTTTCATCTCTGAAACTCATGCTAAAGTATGATCAACAACTTACACATCCATGAGAAGTTTGGCCAACTTTTCATTGGAATTTTGTTGAAGTTCAACTTTGAGGCTATTCCATCTCCCGAGTTCGTCACCAATATTGATCCAGTTTGGGGGCATTGGCACTATCAGCGGAGAATCTTTTCCCGTCGACATTGTGGCTAGAAGAATGTTATTTGCACCAGTGTTTGGAAATTTGACCTTCCTTATGGTTTTTATTCGCAACTGCATGAAGCATCTGTAATAAAAAAAAATATGGTAATATGCTTTTGTCTTGGGGGAGGGGGGGGTAATCATGTCAGAATATGTTGATGACGACGTGAACCGATATGGAGTTGATCCTTCATTTTCCACCTTACCCAAGTTACTATTACTTCGCACCGACAAAAAAGATCCCTATAGTCAACTATTACCTGGTAAGTGTATGAGAAGCACTTACCTGAAAACTTAGCCCTAGCAACTCAACCTAACATTACCCATGTTGAACTCTGATGGCGGCTAGCGGTAAAGTGGGAATCAACTAACAACCGAAACTGCGCGATTCAAGAAGAAATCTCACCTAGCACATTTGTCAACGTAGCCATTCCATAGAACACGAATGCCCAAAAGTGTGCTTTATACTAAGTGTGCTTTACACAAACACGCGTATACATAAATGGTAACGAGGATTGAGAAAACATCTGGAGTCTGCTTTTGATTTCATATCCATAAACGAAATGCATATAAAACTATATATAGGCCTACGTTATCAATACAATGCAACCGACGTGTAGCCGCAAGTTAGAAGACAATGTGTGATTACGCACAGCAGTAGGAGGCCGCTACCCCTTCCCAGCAAGGAGTCAACAAAGCCGCATGTTAGAAGACAATGTGTGTTTACTCACAGCAGTAGGAGGCCGCTACTCCTTCCCAGCAAGACACAAACACTGATGCGCGTGACCCTCGCCTCATTAGGGGTGAGAGGCTGTCCTTTCATGATTGGTATTGTTCATTAGCACACTTCTTAATCAGTATTCGCACGCACGCACGCCTCTTGGTTGCTTTCAAAAGTTGCCTCAATCGGCCAAGAATGTGATCACATTTATCTGCCGACATACTAAGCCTTTGGCGTATTGTTAGGAAATTTGGATCTTCAAAAAACTGACCAATATCTATGATTTCTTTTTCGTTTTGCTGTACGAAAATTAAAATTCATTGATATCTTTTATACATTCACGTCGCGTCTAGTTTTGCGTTAACGGGTCCTACAATTGTTCCGCCGTGCATGCTTCCTATATATGCAACCGTATCAGACTCATTGCATCGGAGAAGTTTTGTCAATATTTAAAAAAAATTCAAATATTTGTGTCCCAGAAAGCATTTATTGACCGTGTCGTTCCATGGGGTGATACTTTACCAGCACATGTATTTCTGTAATAATTTAAAATGCATCGCTGCCCCTCGTATGTAACACACGAAAACATGAGCCCTAGCCATGCGTGTTATCGTGTGCATTATTTGTCGTACAGGGCCCTATCTTTAGGCAGGTGACATTATTTGTCTACACATTTACCCGGTTATTGCAAGTAATTCAAGCAAAAGGACATGAGTGACCG